GCAAAGATCTGTTTTTTGTGAAAGCGGAAAAAGAGGCGCCAACTTTAAACAAAAAAAAAGACATAATATAATTATTTTCTGGGGTCTTATAAGACTTATAAGACCCTTTACAAAAAAACACACTACCTACGAAATTATAATTCAAAAAATAAAGGACACTCTTTGTTGTTTTTTAAGTCAAAAATTTTGACCAAGTAAGTTCTAAAAACAATTGTCCAAGGGTGTACATAAAATTATCATAATCATTTGATTAAGTGCTTAGAGGGTACTAAACTAACACATGCTGCACTAAATTGCAATTGACTCTAAACTGTGACAGTGCTAAATGGAAAATTGTTTTGCATTAATTTTAAAGGGCTTTATTTAGCAATGACCTTTGCTATAAATTTCCATCATGTGTTAATTTTTTTTTAAGTCTACAATAATTATAAGCATAACCAAAAAACACATGTTGTGGGCCACACTGTACAATAAGAATTTAACATTTTTAGGTAAAATTTCAAAAAATAATTATGGATGAGACATTTACACTGCATAATAAGTAGTTGTAGGAAGCATTTATCGTTAATAAAGTAAAATTACTTTTTCCGCTTATTACCTATAAACAGCTTATTATTTTGTCCTTATGTTAACTGCATTGAAATTTACGGGAAAAAATGTAAAACTTCAAATTTTGGCCAACATTTAACAAGCTTTACTATAATTAAATCAGAATCAAGTACCTAGATAATAAATGATTTTCAAAAATTAATAAGCAAAATTTGACATCTGTTAAATAACCCTACTTTTTAACAATTTTAAATGTGATTATAGACGCCTTCTCCCAATTTAAAATCTGATTGGTGCAAATCACTGTGAATATTGAAATCGGCCAATGACTGATGCCTAACAACGTGATAATGAGTTCATTAATGATAATTATTCCCGTTGTTAGGCATATATTTAAAGATGTTTTATTTATTTTTAATTTTTAATATTTATAATAATTTAAACTATTAATCGCATACAAATTTCTAAAAGTTTTGTCGATCGAGTATTTATAAATAAGTTATAACTTCATTATTGGATATTATTTTTTTAACAATTTGTACACTAGAATGAAGAGGTAGATATTGTTTAAAAAACTATTGTTACTATCTCATTAATTAATTTTAATGAATATCGATAAAAATCCGACTGACAAACAAATTTTAGGTATTAATTTATTATTTCCGACATTTTAAAAATCGTAGTCATAATATTTATACAGGGTGTATATAAAAGGTATTTACCTTTATAATAATTTGAGAATCAATAAAAAACGTTAAAAATGAAGAAGTATTTATTGCTTAAGGAAAAAAGTTCTTAGTGGAAGAAGTAGGTATATCTACGAGGTGTGTTCAGAAAATATCGGGAATTTTAGTTTATTAAAACAAATATTTATTTATTCGTCTACATTAATGTTGTCGCCTTCAAAATAGTCCCCATTGGATATTATGCACATGTGCCAGCTCTTCTTCCAATACTCGAAACACTTCTAAAACTCAATCTTTGGGATAGCCTTTAGTTTTTTCAGCGATGTGCTTTTAATGTCATCTATGCTTGCAAAACGACGGCCCTTTAAGGTTCTCTTTATTTTTGGGAATAGGAAAAAGTCAGACAGAGGCATGTCTGGCGAATATGGAGGCTGGGGCATCATTACAGTATTGTTTTTGGTCAAACATTTTGTTCAAAATTTAACAATTTTAGAACAAATTTTGCTGCCACGCGTTTCATACCCAAAACATTCGAAAAAATTTCATGGGATGAGCCAATTTATATACCAACATCATCAGCGACTTCTCTGATGGTTTATAACCATTTCTTCCACTTTTTCCATGTTTTTATCGGTTGTTAAGGTGCTTGTGCGTTCGGGGCGTTCGTCATCTTCAACGTCTCACGGCCATCTTGGAAACTCTTATACCACTTGTAAACTCTTGTTTTACTTATAGCAGACTCACTATAGGCCTTCCCAAGCAGCATTTTAAGTAAAAGTGTAGAGCTTTGAGGCAATATTACTTAATTTAAGTAAATATTTTGTTAAATTAACCTTAAAAATTTACTTTTAAGTAAAACTTTTTTTGGTAAATGTTACTCATAAGTCATAATTTTACGATATTAAGACCACTTTATAACCGTAAATAATTCCTATTCGCCTGGTATTCTTTAGGGTTATTAGTGGTAATAAATACTTTTATTTTAATATTGACTAAACAAGGAAAAATAAGCTTAAAGTGAAAAATAAAACTTTAAGGAAAAATTTTTTTCAGGTCGCCATAATGAATTTTTTAAGATGGCATCCATTCCCAGGTAACCAAACGTAACGAAAAAGTGACAGAAATTGTATGTATGTTTTCTTTATCGTCACGTGTATAATCGTCGAAACTATATCAATTTTAAACTCAAATTTTTCACAAAACCGCTCACCTGCCGTTATAACGTGATCGTCACGTTAGCGTTATCGTGATTTTAAACCGAATCGACATAACGTTTACGTGACGCTGTAATCGTTACTAAATCAACACGAAAATACAGTTATATTCGATTTTGAATTTGTGACCGTATCTTTAACCAGTGGCGGCTGGTGGATTTTTGGTATATATACCGGTATACCAATATCTCAGTTATTATACATAGGACCCAAACCAAACTTTTATGTTTATAATAATATTAAATTGAAGTTTGCGAAAAAAGTAAATTTTATACCATTTAAACTTTTTTTTGTCCTAAAATAAAATTTAAAAAATGGTATAATATTTGTAATCTTGGATTTTTTAAATAAATTTTGAAATTTGTTATAAAATATAGTGAGTTATTAATTGCACCACCTTAATTTGAATCATCTTAATTAGGGGGGCACGCTGAAAAACTTAATTTTTTCGCAACAATTTTTAATTTTATTACAACTTCATAAAAGTTTTGGGTCCCATGTCTAATAACTAAAATATCAGTATACCCCAAATCCCCCAGTCGCCAGTAGTGACTAGTGGCAGCTGTCTTTAACTAATCTGCTCAAGTCTCAGATTGCTGGAATTATTCCTAAATTTTTACTATAGTAAGCTATAGCTATATGTATATTTTAAATAATTAAATAAGCACAAAACACTGAAATGGAACAGGTTTCAGAAGAATTTATGATTAATTAATAATAATACCTTTAACAAAACAATATATTTCTCAAACCAAATTATAAAAACAATAAAAAACTAAATAAATAACTCTAAAAAATATATTCTTCTTCAAAAGGATAAAAACCAAATAAATAATTTTCTAAAGCATATTCAGTCAATATTTTTTCTTCTATTCGACATTTTGCTGTATTTCTTTTTTCTTTTGCTGAAAAAAAGTATTAATGTGAACACTATATAGTTATACCTCCTCTACATAATAAAGTAACCAGAATTTTTGCATAATTAAGTTTTTAAATCAAAACCACTTAGGTACCTACCTACTTGTTAAATATTTAGGTAATGTTAAAAGGCATTAAAATATTAAAATGAATGTTAACATAACCCATAATTATTTTCATAGAAAAACAATATGAAAAACAATACTTACAATTAACGCCTTCCTAAGAAAATAATATATAATAAAAACTAAACACAAGCTAATAATTTTTAAATAAACCAATTTCAAAACAAATTAGTTGCACGGGAACACTAAACAGAACAAAATCAGATCAATATACCTACCTAGGTACTTATTTGACAATAATGGCGAATTGAATAAAGAGTTAAGAGGGTAGCTAAAGACACGGTAAATCGTAAAGTTAAAGTCACGGTATACCGTGACTTTTGTTATAACGTTATAACGTGACAATAAAGTCACGTTTATATAACGATTAATTTAGCAAAGTAAGTCTATGGAAAATCGTGAAAGCATTGGTAAAGGCAGATTCTATATCAAATCGACATCTCCAAAATTATTAATTTTCGTTAAAGATATATAGGTCACAACTTTATAGTTAAGATATTGGCCACGTTAACGTCACATTTAAAAATGTTAGTCACGTTTGGTTACCTGGGTTACTTATCTAAACATTTATATGATATTTTTTCATAAATATTTTTCTAAAATATAATAAAGAAAGTTTTAGTTATTAAAAAATGATTAAAACTAAATAATTTTTAAAAGGTTTTATAAAATTTTGTAGGTTTTAAGTTTTGTTGAATTTTTACCCAAGCAATAATTTTTCTTAAAACTGTAAAATATTTAGAGGGTATGTAATTTTTAAGATGTATCCTGCCTATTTTTATCAATAAAATAATGTGCGTTTGAGTTTTAATGCAAAATATTATTAGTTTTGACAATTTAAGTTATATTTTATAATTTTACTCTAGGGTGACCTTTATTACTTTGTAAGTACCATTTTGTAAAATATAAATTAAAAGAACAAAGAAATTACGAATGTTTTTAAAAGAGAGAGCAAACAGTTAGTAATTATAACGTTATTTTTACGTAAATTTGTGGTATTTATATTGTTTTTATTACGTTATTCTCTTAGTAGATCCAAAAGGTTATTATGTAATAATAATAACGAAATAAACCATTCCCCAAATTTGGTAATTTTTCGTATCTATACCGTTGTAAAACCGTTTTGATTAACCGTAAAAAATACTTTAAAATTGACTTAGTAGTAAAGTTGTAGTTATTTAAACTTAAAATGCTGCTTGGGTTTGTTAACATTTCACAGAATTTATTTCATTTTTTAAGCAAAATATCATACAAATTCTTTGATCCATTTCTTTAAACGAACGAAAAATCGCCGAGCTCATAAAACACGTCTAACCTTAGCGGCTGCCACAGACAAAGTAAACAATGAAAACAGTTTTTATCATACTTCGGGGGCATGTATACCAACATAATAAGAAAATTTTATGACAACCGGACCCTCCGAACCCGCGAAATTTAACAATTCCCGTTATTATTATTATTATTATTATGTTTTTCAGTGTATGCAACTTCAACACCTGTATTTCTGAAATTGTTCAAATTAATTGACAGTCAACGGCATTTTTTTAGGATTTTAGTTATTTTAGTATTGAGCCTAAAGTTTCCCGACATTTTAAAAAATCAAAAGAATTGTTTTATAAAAAACACTATTAAATCGTTTTTTAATAGTTATTCGACTCGAGTACCCTCTCGTGACAATTCACGTCGATAGAAAGCGAATCTTACACACACAGTCAAACCGCAAAATCTGATCCTCCGGTCTTGTAACTTAACCTGTGGAATAAAAAGTGTATCAAATAAATATCAAACAAATTAGGCGACTTGTGTGGCCGTGAGAGAGAAATAATTCCGCAATTCAAACGCATAACCGCGCAACACGGTCAAAATGGTTTTTGTGCTGAGTGAGACGGTTCGTTCGCGAATATTATCACCAACAAATCAACATTTAATTTTCCAGTAGTTTAAGTAAGTACCCAATAAACACTATTTTATGGCGAATAATAAAATAAAAACGCGTTAAATACGCCGCGGTATTTTTTGTAATGCTGAAAATATTTAAAAGATTTAAATATTTAAAAAACGTGTAAACTGTGTTAAGGCTTTTTAAGTCTTTCGTAGTCATTCAAATCATGACCTATATCTACGAATTTACTGTCAATGTAAAGTATAAATAACAACAATTATTTATTATATCAAGATACCTATGTATGTATACCTACTAGAGTTGGTCCAATATCCGCTTTTTTCGTAAGTAATATCATAAGGGCATTTAATTTTTCCGAAAAGAATCGAAAAAACACGTTGCTAAGTAATATTTTAACAAAAAGCATGAGTGCTGGTGGCAACAAAATTCCGAGTCGAAGAGGAGGATTTTTGCACCTGCACGAATGCATTTTGTTAAAAAATATTACTTAGCATTGTGTTTTTTCGATTTTTTTCAGAGGAAAAATTAGATGCCCGAATGGTATTTGACAAGACTATTTCATGAGTAACAGTTAACAATTAAAATATAAATTGCAATTTTTGGTGACAACAGCTGTCAAGTTTTGCCGCGGGTAAACTCGAATAAACTGCTGACAGGTGCTGTCACACAGTTTTTTCGTAAGTAATATCATAAGGGCATTTAATTTTTCCGAAAAGAATCGAAAAAACACGTTGCTAAGTAATATTTTAACAAAAAGCATGAGTGCTGGTGGCAACAAAAATCCGAGTCGAAGAGGAGGATTTTTGCACCTGCACGAATGCATTTTGTTAAAAAATATTACTTAGCATTGTGTTTTTTCGATTTTTTTCACAGGAAAAATTAGTTGCCCGAATGGTATTTGACAAGACTATTTCATGAGTAACAGTTAACAATTAAAATATAAATTGCAATTTTTGGTGACAACAGCTGTCAAGTTTTGCCGCGGGTAAACTCGAATAAACTGCTGACAGGTGCTGTCACACAGTTTTTTCACCTAGAAACCATTTGTAATTCAAAATTGCGCGTTTGTGATTGGTGGAAATTAAGACGAGGGAAATAGTCACCTAGAAACCATTTGTAATTCAAAATTGCGCGTTTGTGATTGGTGGAAATTAAGACGAGGGAAATAGTCGAAATTAATTTTGTAATGACAAAAATTTTATTCTTTGGGGTGAAAAAAAATATGAGCAAAAAATAAATAACTAAAATTTTTTGTTTAAAATTTATTTAAACTACTTTTAAACATAAAAAAATAATAATATAAAATAACCTTATTTTTTATTATTGGTTTGTTTAAGTTTTAAACCTATATATGCTTACCAAATTAATTAAACGGAAGGGGACTGTTTTTAGATTTGTAGATAAATAATTATTAACAACTTAGAAAATATATTTTTTAAATTATTTATTTTAGGCTCCATTATCACACAAAACCCTCAACCTATAGGTTTATATATACGAGGTCTGTTCAGAAAATAACGGGAATTGTTAAATTTTGCGGGTTCGGAGGGTCCGGTTGGTATACATGCCCCCGAAGTATGATAAAAACTTAAGCTGTTTTCATCGTTTACTTTGTCTGTGGCAGCCGCTAAGGTTGGGCGTGTTTTATGAGCTCGGCGATTTTTCGTTCGTTAAAAGAAATGGATCAAAGAATTTGTATCCAATTTTGCTTAAAAATGAAATAAATTCTGTGAAATGTTAACAAAGGCCTATAGTGAGTCTGCTTAAAGTAAAACAAAAGTTTACAAGTGGTATAAGAGTTAAGACGTTGAAGATGACGAACGCCCCGAACGCACAAGCGCATTAACAACCGATAAAAACATGGAAAAAGTGGAAGAAATGGTTATAAACCATTAGAGAAGTCGCTCATCCCATAAAATGTTTTCGAAGGTTTTGGGTATGAAACGCGTGGTAGCAAAATTTTGAACAAAATTTTTGGCAAAAAACAATACTGTAATGATGCCCCAGCCTCCATATTCGCCAGACATGCCTCTGTCTGACTTTTTCCTATTCCCAAAAATAAAGAGAACCTTAAAGGGCCGTCGTTTTGCAAGCATAGATGACATTAAAAGCGCATCGCTGAAAGAACTAAAGGCTATCCCAAAGATCGAGTTTTAGAAGTGTTTCGAGTATTTGAAGAAGAGCTGGCACACGTGCATATTATTCAATGGGGACTATTTTGAAGGCGAAATTAATGTAGACGAACAAATAAATATTTGTTTCAAAAAACGAAAATTCCCGATATTTTCTGAACACACCTCGTATATGTACCTACAATTGTAATTAATTTATATTTACAGGGACTGTATGCAATTTATTTTTTCTACAATATAAAGAATAGGTAATATTTTTGCTAATACCAAATTAATTTCAAAAAAGCGGATATTCGACTTACCTTGGCTAAATTTTCAATTATAAATTTAATTAAAATAAATAATTACAAACAATTTAATTTAAATTGTTTTGTTTAAGAGGCATCACGATTTTTAAAATTGTTGATGCACAATATTTCTGTATTTAATCAATTAAGGTAAATACCCATGTTATTAGTGTCATAACAGTAGGTAAGTATCTCCATCAACGAAATGACACCTAAATAGGATTTTTTAGTAAATAATATTTACAATTTTATTTTGCAACAGAAGTTTAATGAAAGATAATTTTGTGGTAATTTCAAACAATAAATAGAGCATGGTCTGCAGAATAATATTATTATATTGTATATAATATTCCACTAGTGGAACAAAGAAGAAGAAGAAAAAGAAGACAACTGTTAATATATTCAGATCAAAAACGTTTTCTTCAAAAGGCAGTTATGTCCTTGACCTGGTACAACAGAAAAATTAAACTTTACATTCACATTATTACTTAATAAAATCTTTCAATTATTCAATTAGATTAAATTGGTCAAACAAAAGAACAGCAAATTCATTTAGCAATATTATTAGGTGGGCAAATATTTTTGCTATTCTAATTGATATAAGTAGGTACCTATTGAAAAATTTCGTATAAGTACTCTCTAAAAATGAATTAGTCAAAAATGACTAATTTAATAGTTATTAGTGGCTGCTTTTTCACAATTGTACCATGGTTAAACATGGAATACCATGGTATCACAAAATTTAACAGATGAAAAAATGATGAAAGTGGAGCAGTTTTTGAGATATAGTCAATTCCATATTAAATGGAAAATTGACTATATCTCAAAAACTGTTGTACTTTTTTTAAACTTTTGACGACATTTTCGGATTCAGGGGACAATTTTAGATAAGAATTGGCTGTAAAATTTTGGGACACCAGAGTATTCCATGGTTAATATAATAATATAATAATATATATTTCAACATCAACAGGCAATGCCCAATTACAGATGAGGATAAAATCCAAATACACATAATATTACATTAAATTAATAATTATAGTAATAACTTTCTCCTAAGCGAGTCTTACATTTAATCTATTATTTATATTTAGACTAATACATTTTTTCCTAAAAGCTTTAAAACTGCCATAAAAAAAGTCTATTTCCCTCGAAACCATGTTACCATAGTAGCTGAAGAGGTACAAGGGTGATGTCATATACACATTTACTCTTGAGCTTGGGATAAAAAATATATCATTATTTCTAGTTAAATTGTTAACTTTAAATTTTATGTGTGATAATAAGTAACTATTATCTAATTCGTTATGTAGCAACTTGTATAACGTAAATATAATGGCTGTAATCCTTCTTGATTCTAGTGTTCTGTATAGATAAATATTGCATAAGTCTGAATAGTTAGCAAAATTGTCATACACACCATACTTCTTATATTTAAGATATTTTAAAAATCTTTTTTGAACTTTTTCCACTGCATTAATATAACAACTATAATAGGGATACCACACAATAGACCCATATTCCATCCTCGAACGCACTATGGAATTGTATAGCACTTTAATGCTGTTGTTATCAATAAAGTCTCGCGTATTCCGCACAATAAAACCAAGTTTTGATAATGAAGAGTTAATCATTATATTTATATGTTCTTTAAAAGTAAGTTGATTGTCCACAATTAATCCTAGGTCTTTAAATTTGTCCACTTTTTTTAGTTTTGTCCTATTTATGTAATAATCTTGGTTAATAGCACGCATTTTTTTTGTTATTGTCATTGAAGCACATTTTTGGGCGTTTATCATAAGTTTATTTTGATCACACCACTTCACGATAAAGTCAAGATCTTTTTGCAGTAACTCACTGTCCCTGATAGAGTTAATTTCTTTATAAATTTTTACATCATCAGCATAGATCAAACATTTTGACGATATTGTGTTTTCTGGTAAACTATTAATAACTAACAAAAATAAAAGAGGTCCCAAGTTGGAACCCTGGGGTACTCCTGAACTTTGAGTGAAACATTTAGACTTAAAACCATTAACTTTAACAAATGCTTCGCGGTTTTCAATATATGATTTTAAAATATTTACTAAGGTAAAACTAACATCAAATTTTAACAGGTGCTCAACTAGTATGCTATGTTCTAATTTATCAAAGGCTTTAGTCATGTCTGTGTAAATAACGTCTATTTGTTTATTACTATTTAGGGCATATTTAGAATCTTGCATAAAATTTAACAGATTTGAGATTGTTGATCGTTTGGGCATAAAGCCGTGTTGTCAGGCCCGTTCCTGGCGAGCGTGCAGTGCGTGCACGCACGCAGGCGCAACATTTCGGGGGCGCAAAATCAAAGACTTAATCAGTACTTTGTAACGATAAACTTTCTTGCATATGATACTTAAACATAAATTGGATAAAGGTTTCTGCCTTTTTTGCGTCGGCCGCTCTTTTTTTCTGTACACTGAGGGAAAAATCTAATACCTGTTATGAAAAATATAATACCCCTTATAAGATTTCTCTATTAGTATTAGGACAGCCAACTGGTTTATAGACAGTATAAACTCGGTTTTGTTAAACATCTTGTAACAGTTATTAGACATACTATTATCTCTTATAAAATCGATA